TTTCTTTTTCAAATTTAATTAATTATATTTTTTTAATACACAAACATTTAATATTACAAAAATTCTATTTTTTAAATACAAACACTTATTATTTAAATAAAAAATGTTACACTAATTTAAAACATAATACTAAATAAGAAGGTTTCTGTTTTTGGACAAAAAATACCAAATTGCTTAAACTATGGGATAGAAAATACTAAACTACCGAAACTTTGGGGACCAAATATGTAAATTTTTTATCTTCTTCCCCAATTCTCTTCCCCAATACCCAATACCGGGTTTAAACGCAGCAAGTTTTAACGCAACAAGTTCTAGCAACAAAAATTGAAGCTTCGACACCTTTCATTTTCCAAGAACGGAGGGATTTTTTTTATGAATTTGCTAAGATTTGAAATGGGATCACCAATCACTGCAAGCCAAATTCTCTCTCTCCTCTCGCTATACTCCTAGCGACTCACCGGTAGCGAGCTCCATAGCGTGCGCTAGGGGCCGGTGTGTAGCGTGCTTAGCGAGCTCCTGGCGAGCGTTCTTAGCGGCCGACTCCTTTCAGCCTTATATGGTGCAAATAACACCCCAAAAACGGTTGAGAATCATAAGGTATTCATATGATGAGTTTTAAAAAAAAAAAAAAAACCTTTTTCTAACTGAAATCTGACCGTTGAGGGACCAACCCGTGAGATGAAGACTGCTTCCGGTCCGATGGAAATAGAAAATTGTTCCGGCTTGTGATATCCGGTTCAGGACTAATTTGGTCTTTTATTAATTGTCTTGATAAAAAAGCCCCATTCATCAAACCGGCCCATTAATACAGAAAAGACCGGCCCATTATAGAAAAAGACAAAAAAGTACAAATAAACAAGCAACCGGTTCAACGGTTTCGATCAGAGTTTAGGGCAAGCGTTGGAAACAGCTGCTATAAATACTCCAAACCGCACACAAAGACGGTTTAGGGCTTAAACAGACAAAATTGAAGCCATAGAAGAGGGCTATTCCTTCACTGTCTTATCTTATTCAATCCAATAAAGGTACAACCTTTGAAAATTTTTATGTCTATTTGCAAGTTATTCACTCGAATTCGTAAGTATTTTGCGTTAATTTGCCCATTTTACGACGGTTTTACTATTTTGTCGAAGATGTACTCTGTAATCTTACATGCATAAAAAGTTCATAATCAGACTAATTTACTATCGATTTGAAGGAATGATAAGTGGTTATGTTTTCCTTTTTGGTTCGAGTCTTATACTCCCTTTTCGGCGACATTAGTGTTTGTTGTTCGAATTTGTACTTTTTGTTATTACACTGGCTGATCCTTATCTTCCAATAAAGGTAGGGTCTTTTTTGTTTCTACGTAAGTTATTTGACTCCAATTCATATGTATATTGCTGTTTGTTGTTTTGCATTAATGTGTTTCCGTGTGATTGTTTCAGTGATACTCTTATAAACTTGAATGATGAAGTTTTTACTATTTATGAGGATGCATGTAATCTTACATACATAAAAGTTTCCAAATTGTACAAGTTTTCCATCGATTGTAAGAAAGAAATCATGGTCCCCATTTTTTCTTCGTTTTGGTTTTAGTCATCAGGCTCCCTTTTGGGTGACATTTCCCCATATCCAATAGTTACTTGCTGTTTCTGTGGTTTGAATTTATATCTGCTATCTCACTTTCTTATGATCTTATCCTAATCTTCCAATAAAGGTAGCCCCTTTTCGTTTATGTCTAAGTTATTTGACTCCAATTCAAATGTATTTTGCGCCAAATGCCATTTTTTATAATTGAATTGTTGGTTTTGTACTTTGGTTTTGATTTTTTCATGTCTTTGTGTTTTGGAGCGATTATTTAATAAAATTGGAGTTTTTACTATTTTTGATGACACATTGTGTAATCTTACATGCATAAAGAGTTCCTAACTATACAAGAAACAATGAACCATTTTGCTCATTTTTGGTTTGAGTTATCAGGTTTTGCTTCTTTTTTTTTGTGACATTCTCCCAATAATCAACTATCTTTTCTTTTTTCCTTCAATTTTATGTTTGAATTATATATTTTTAAAGATGGATCGATATCATAAAGTGGAAAAGCCAAGAGCAGAGCAACCAATTGATGAGAATGAGATCCGAATTACAAGCCAAGGAAGAATGCGTAACTATATCACATATGCCATGGGTTTGCTTCAGGTATATTATATATGATTATATATATATATATATATATATATATATATATATATATATATACATATATATATATATATATATATATATTTCTATGAATACTCAGTTTCCATAAATAATTTGAGTCTTTCTACACTTTGGTAGGAAAAAGGGTCATCAGAAATTGTGTTTAAAGCAATGGGCAGAGCAATAAACAAAACTGTTACAATTGTGGAATTGATAAAGGTACATTGTAATGACAAGGGCATTTTCGTCATTTTGCTATACACAAAACTGAAGTCTTCTTTGTGTTGCAGAGAAGAATTGTAGGTCTTCATCAAATTACATCCATTGGATCCACAGATATAGTCGATACATGGGAACCTTTAGAGGAAGGCTTACTCCCGTAAGTTAATCTTTTTAAAAAAATCAATATTTAAAAATTTTATGAATTAAAAATATGTTTTATAATTTATATTTTTATACAAATTTTATGTTCATACAGTCTAGAAACCACAAGACATGTTTCAATGATAACTGTAACTCTCTCTATGAAGGAGCTCAATACATCATCTATTGGGTGAGTTTTAGCTTTTAAAAATTGTTTCTTGTAATGTATTATTTTACTTTAAAAAATATAATGTCATTAATAAAAATTATTTTAAAAAGTACAATTCTCTATAATTGGTGGATTCAATTGTCAGGTATCAGCCTCCATTGCCAGCTGATCAGGTGAAAGTGGGACCCGAATTTGAGTATGAAGGAGGTATGAAAAAATCATCCAAATAGAAAGTAATTTTTATTGTTATAATTAGGTAGATTTTTTTTTTTTAAAAGTATATAATGCACAATTAAATAAAAGTAGGGCATTATTGGTATTTCTTGCATTTATCATTTGAACCCAATGTTGACAGTCTTTTTGTTATGTAGAGGGCTCACCAACTACAAGGGGGAGGGGTCGTGGTGGAAGGGGAAGGGGTAGGGGAAGGTCCAGGGGCATTTCTGGTATTATCTAATTTCCAAAAAAAAAAATCAATTAAAAAACTAGTTTTGGTTTATAATTGTTTACAACAAATGTTTGAATACAGAAAAACACAACATACTTTCATCTATTTAGCCACTTAACTACTTTTTATCGGGATTAAATTTTTCTTTAACTTTTTTTAAAATTTATAATTTTTTTTTAATTAATAATGATTGTTATATAATTAATGATAGGGAATGGGTATGGACAAGGGGGGGAGTATGATGATGGAGGGTGGGATGGGCCCCGTGATTTCCCAAGGGGGAGAGGGGGTAGAGGAAGAGGACGAAGTTTCAGAGGTCGTGGAAGGGGAAATTACAATAATGCCCCTGCTTATGTGGATGATCATTATGATGGAGGATTTAATCAAGAACCACCCATGCAAGGCAGAGGTACTTCTGATTTCTCACATCTTAGGATTTATTTACAAAAACAATATAAGATTTTTTTAGCTTCTTTTTTAAAAAAAAAAATCAAGTTTATTATAACATAATGAGCTTTGAATAAATATTGAAGGACGTGGACGTGGGAGGGGACCACGTGGCAGGGGACGTGGGTTTAGATCAAATGGGCTGATCCAGTCAGCAGCTACAGTGACAGCTGGAGGTGCATAAAAACATAAAAGGCTTGGTTTCTTTGGTGTGGTTTATTATCTATTATGATGATGATGATGATGATGATGATGATGATGCTGATGATGATGATGATGTTTTGTATTGTTTGTTGATTTCGTTAAAGCTAATTAGGACAGGAGGACCCACTCAGTTTGTAATAGTTTTAGACAAATTTTTAGTAGCTTTTTAAACCTTCATGCCAGCCATTTTTATAGTGAGCTTGAGCTTATATTTTTTATTTGTAATTTTTTTTTTTGTAGAATTTGTAGGTTTATAAAATACTTGTTTAACAAGACTTTTATTACACTTCACCAAGCAAAATGTAAACTCTGCTTTTCCTTTTTTTTCCTTTTTTTATATATATATTTTTTAATTTCATCGTAGTTCGAGACCAGTGTTAGTGTTTGAATTTGATGTAAACTTGATTATTACAAATTAGCTTTGCATTTAATCTTTTCTTTATTTTCTGCTAATAGCCTGAGTTGCATCTATTTCTCTTATATTCAAATGTAAATTGATCATCAATAAGAATATTCATAGGCATAAATCTGCACTGAGAGCATAAATCTTGTACAAATTTTTCTTTTTAGATAAATCTGCACTGAGAGCATCTTCTTTGTTGCTAATTTCTTCTAGATTGAAAATACAAAGCTTTCCACTAAGGTGTTTCAAACGCCCGAGCTCTTCAATTTGATGCCCCTTCTCTTTACGCACACCAAAGGAAGGCAGTGTTCGAAGAGAAGTCAATTGTCCCACATTATGAATGGGAATGTTTTCTCGAAATTCAAAATCTCGTAGGCTTATCAAATTTCTCATGTCGTTTGGCAACTCCTTGAGACGATAGCAACCACAGAGCTTCAGAGTTTGCAAATGATAAAGTTTACATAGAGATTTTGGAAGAACGTTGATTTGGGTATTTGACAAATCAAGAAATCTGAGATGCACCAACTCTCCAATTGAATCGTCTATCTTCGTTAGTTTACATCCATTGAATTTTAGGATTCGTAGGCACTTCAAATGTTGGAATGAAATGGTGCTCTCGACTTCACCCTTGAAGAACAATGTATGGAAAGTTCTAGCTGTAGTATCCTCTTTGAAGACCATAGAAATCAACTTTTTAAAAGAAATGTTGATTCGAATATTATCTTCGCTATATTTGTTCACTATGAGATGTTTAACCTGAGGAATACGTACAATATCATCGCTTTTCGGACTCACTAGACATAAACTTTCATGTTTGGAAAGTGATAAAGCAAGATCATGCATACTGCAACTAGTGATGTAACCATACTCATCCCTTTTAACATCTTGGAATAATGAATTGCTTACCAAAATCTGGAAAATTTCATTTCCCACGTCCTCCATTTCCTTGTTTCTTGTCTCATCTGCTTTAACAAACCCTAAAGCCATCCAAAGTTGGATCAATTCTTCCCTTTTTATAACTTTGTCCTTTTGAAAGATGGAACAACATGCAAAGCATTGCTTGACAGTATAATTAGGCAAATTATCAAAGCTTAGTTTCAAACTATTTTGAACTCTATCCCCAGCTGCTTCTAGATCCCAAACCTTGCTATCTTTGATGGACAACCACTTCTCTTTGTTATTATAATTTCGCAGCATGCCTCCTATTACATTTACTAGCAATGGGAAACCATGACACTTTTTCACAATCTCACGTCCTATCTCCTCCAATTCTGGCAATGGTGATTGTCCTACCACAAAAGCTCTTTCTTTAAAGATGGACCAACAATGATCATCAGAAAGACTTTGCAAAACACGGGAATCCTCACACATAGCCATGGTTCCAATTTCAAGAATCCGAGTAGTGACAAGAATGCCACTTCCACTCTTTGGGTTTACTTTTAACATACAACTCCTAAAATCATCCCAATGTGCCCTTTCTTCGTCCCAAATATCATCCAGGACTAGCAAATATCTTTTCGATCCCAAATACTTTTGAAGATTTGTAATCAAATTGACTCTAGTTTGTGACTTACATTCCTCTCCAGAAAGAGATTCAAGGATCTTTGCAAGAAGTGTGTTGATAACAACCTTAACTGACACACACAACCAAGCTCGAACATCAAAATGCTGCTCGATTTTTGTATTATTGTAGATTGACTTAGCCAAACTTGTTTTTCCAATCCCGCCCATTCCAACAATAGGAACAATGGTGAGTCTTTCTTCTTTTCTTGGTTGGGTTAAAAGTTGTATGATATGTAGTTCATCATCCTCCCTCCCAACAACTTGGAATTCGTCTAAATATGGATCAGTCTCCCGATAGAGAGTATCTGGAACATAGGTAAACTGTTCGTTTTGTAGCCCTAGAAGGTTTGCTTGCTTATTGATCTGTAACAACTTCTTGCTGATGTTTTCGATTTTATGACTAATTTCTCTACGAAATGAAAGCTTTTTCAAGCTTGGGAGGGACAGTACCTTTCTTGCGATTCGATCTGTTTTCTTTATCTCACTTCTCAACATTTCGTAATGAACCTCATCCAACACATCATCAGCTTCACCAACTACTTGTTTTAGGTGTTTCAGCCATACAATCACAGCCTCTGTTCCTTTTTGTCTCTCAGCATCGCGCAACTTGGCACAAATTAGGTCTACGGTTTGGTGAAGGGTGTCCAACTTCTTTTTGTAACCCAAAGCAAGGGAGATCTCGTTGGCAGCTACTAACACCACCTTTGTTAGTATACCTTCGGCGGCCATAACTAAAGCTTCAGCCATTTTTACTGTTGAGAACAAGAGAGGAATTTGATGTGAGTGAGACCAATAATGCAATTCGATAGCCTCCCATAAAGTCATGGATATGAATGGTGATAAGAGAATGGGCCCAAACAGGTATCGATGTTAATGCTCGTTTAGTGGTTTATGATTTTGATTTGTTAATTTGATCGTAAGGGTTCCGGATTCTAAATGCACAACAATTAATTTAACGTAAGGGAGCTGATAATTACAGGGATACATCCACTGATTTTTAAAAGAAAATGACAATTATACCCCTGGTTCTATTTGGAGTTTAATTGATTATTCAAAAACATATTTTTAGTAAAACCATTATACCAAAAGAGAAACGGGGTTACCTGGAATACATCCCGTCCTCCGCCATCATCACTTTCACCTTAATCTGCTCTGAACGTAATCAGCGTTGCGTGTCCTCTGCTTGAAACCATTATGCCTTTGATCCTGTTGAAATTTGATTCAAATCGAAAATACAATAAAGAGAAAACCACCATGCATAAATCCGAAGGAATTCATTTTGCAAGTGAAGAATGAAAGAAATTCTTCAGCGACATTCCCACATTTATCCCATTGCACCACTCACCAACGGCTTAAATCGGCTTGCTTGGTATGTTGAGAGGACAAATTAAGCAAGTAGGACAGATCATGAGTTCATGGGCATCACACGTGACGGTGCTGAATCACCCATCTACCGGCACATATTTGTCTCATTGTAGGTGGAACTCTACATTGGTGAGCATTAAACACGGTGATCTGATGATTGGGTGGCTGCTATATACGAAGCAGAGGATAAATGTGACAGTATTAAGCAATGAGATAGGGGTGGCAGTGAAGTTGTTGGTGGCGGGGAAAAGAGGAGAGAAGGTGGTGGTGGTGGTGGTGGTGTGGAGATATTGAGGAAGAAGATATAGTAGGTGGTGAACGTTATTATGGAAGATGGGGAGGAGGGGTTATTTTAAAAAAGTACAATGTCTATAATGCACAATTAAATAAAATTAGGTTATTTCTTGCATTTATCATTTGAACCAAATATTGACAGTTTTTTTGTTATGCAGAGGGGTCGCCAACTACAAGGGGCAGGGGTCGTGGTGGAAAGGGAAGGGGTAGGGGAAGGTCCAGGGCATTTCTGGTATTATCTAATTTCCAAAAAAAATCAATTCAAAAACTATTTTTGGTTTATAACAAGTGTTTGAATACAGAAAAACACAACATACTTTCATCTATTTAGCCACTTAACTACTTTTTATCGGGATTAATTTTTTCTTAACTATTTTTAAAATTTATTATTTTTTTTTAATTAATAATAATTGTTATATAATTAATTATAGGGAATGGGTATGGGCAAGGGGGGGGTATGATGATGGGGGTGGGATTTCCCAAGGGGCAGAGGAAGAGGACGAAGTTTCAGAGGTCGTGGAAGGGGAAATTACAATAATGCCCCTGCTTATGTGGATGATCATTATGATGGAGGATTTAATCAAGAACCACCCATGCAAGGCAGACGTATTTCTAATTTCTCACATCTTAGGATTTATTTACAAAAACAATATAAGATTTTTTTAGCTATTTAAAAAAAAATTATTATAACATAATGAGCTTTTGAATAAATATTGAAGGATGTGGACGTGGGAGGGGACCACGTGGCAGGGGACGTGGGTTTAGATCAAATGGGCCGATCCGGTCAGCAACAACAGTGACAGCTGGAGGTGCATAAACATGAAAGGCTTGGTTTCTTTGGTGTGGTTTATTATCTATTATGATGATGATGATGATGATGATGTTTTGTATTGTTTGTTGATTTTGTTAAAGCTAATTAGGACAGGAGGACACAAATCAGTTTGTAATAGTTTTAGACTAATTTTTAGTAGCTTTTTAAACCTTCATGCCAGCCATTTTTATAGTGAGCTTGAGCTTATGTTTTTTATTTGTAATTTTTCTTTTTTGTAGAATTTGTAGGTTTATAATTGATATTGCTTATTAAAACAACTAATGTTTCTTGTGGAAAAAACAAGGGATATTGAACTTATAAGGGTTATATAGTTTGGGTTTTGTTCATTTAGTTTTTTAAGTTATTTTTTTCCATATATTACCGTAATACCATTGAAATTGTTTGCACTGTTCAACATTATATTATTATATGACCGGTTGGTGAGTTCCATATTCACAAAAATCGAATCCTTAATCAAAATTAGCAATTTTATTTCGAGTGATTGTTAGAGCAAAACTGCATCATAATAAATCCAATGCTCAACAAAGTTAAATCTTTAATTTTTTTTTTAAATGGCAAATCTAATATAATCTTTAATTTAATTAGAAATTTTCATGGACATGGGTATTTGAACCCATGATTATGAGTTCCATAATCAGTAAAAGTGGATCTTCAGATTGAATTAGAAGTTTTTTGAGATCTTAATGAACAAAATGAATCTATAGTAATAGCACCCATGGGTGGTCTGGATTTCTAGCTAAGCATAAAGGACCAAAAAATACGAGGAAAGTAGGAAACAAACTAGATGAATGTTGGTGGATGGATGAATCTACCCATTATAGCATCATACTTTGAAATTATTTCTTATTAGAGTGGAGTCCTTTCCTCCCAACCCATTCAACTGTCACATCAGCTTCATATCAGTTTTTCTCTTTTTTATCTTTTACAACCCATAACATATGGAAACTCTATCTTTCCCAACCTATTTGCCACTTCATTTTTTTTATTTAGTTAAATTAAAAAATATAAAATAAAATAAAACATAATATTTTTTTCTTTAAAAAAATAAACTGTTACTATTTTTTTTTCTAAAATAACATTAAGTGGGAGAACGAATTGTAATGAATAACTATTTTCGATATATATATAT